GGAACTATCTGGCTCACTAAACTCAAAACTGACTCATCAAATGCGAAAGAAAGCTTTTTTTGAGATCAGCATTGGGAAATGTATGAAATAAAAAATATATGGTTTTTGTTTCACAAAAATGTCTTCTCCATGAAAACGCAACAAAAAATTTCCAATCACTTGCATCAACCAGTGCAGCACATCTTTAATGTTTCTACAGAGTTATGAAAGTTTGTAGGTGATTGACAATCGGAAACGTCAGCTGCCCTGCAGTTCCAGTGGCGAAGGAAGTATTAGTATTGCCTACTGTCAATCACTAATCAATTAAAGTGCTGTACCTTATTGAAACGCAACTGATATTTACGTTGGTTGAAAGTAGTGACGATGACCGCTTCTACCTTCCCTTAGGGCATTCCACCAAAGGCAAAAAAAATGATTTTATAATCACCTTTCAGAGAGTTGTGGAGTTGACGATCTGACTAATATCACCCACGAAAGCAATCTTGGTGGAGCTTCATGGCCATTTATAGAAGGAAGTTGTTAGATCTATGCTCCGCATCTACAACGTCAGGACAGTCTTCACCAGGAAACAAAGTCCAGGAAGACCAACGTGAGGCAGCTGAGTGATGGCACATTCTTCATTCGTGATGGAAAGGTTCCATCACGAAACGTTGGAGGCGTTGGATTTGTCGTCCACCCATCTGTTGTCAATTTTGTCGATCTGCATGAGATCCTATCACCTCTTCATCCTCTGCGTCAGAAAGCCTTCACTATCATCAACTGCTATTCTCCAACATCAGCAGCTGATGATTCGGAACTTGACGCTTTTTATGAGGATTTGGAAAAAGTCATCCGCAAAGCTCCTTCTATAAAGCCGCCGTGGGTGACTTTAATGCGAGTCGGGATGCTAGAAGAAGGGGAGTACAGGAACGAGAGATTTGAATTAGGACTCCGGAAAATAATGATGATCGTCTTGTTGAGCTCTTATTCCCGCACGACTTTTTCATGGCATCCATTTTCATGAAGAAAGAACACCGGCGTTGGACATGGGAGTCACCCAACGATACGACTCAGGCGGAGATCGACCACATCGCCAACCGAAGGTGGTGCTTATTGGACGTCTCACTGATACCTTCCTAGTGGCTTAGATCACCGCCTGCTTCGAGCAAAAGGCAATTCAGCCAAAAACTGGAAAAGATCTGCCACCGTGCTGGAGAAGTATACGATGGCGTCAGATTGGAGGAGCTCCTGACCACTTGTGTCTGCCCCATTGATATTGAGGAGGATCTAACGAGAGATTACGATCTGCTTCTTAGAGGACTGAGAGCCTGCGGTAAAAGTGCCTCAATGCCTAGCACAAGGAACTTGGAACGAATTTCGAAGGCCACCAAGGATCTGCTACAGAGGAGAAGAGCACTAAGGTTGGATCCGAGCATCACATCTCGAGCGACTGGTAGCCAATACCAGCTGCAGAACAGTTTTGCAGGAAGATCTTTGAAAAACAGGCAAGCGAAACATTTGAAAGCAGCACAGGAAGGAGGAGTCTAAACAAGTGCCACAGGAACCTTCTTGACTACCGTGTTCTGCTGACAGCATTACTAAAAGATCTTCCCGGTAGAAGATGGA